CCGTTCGGGATTCAATTTTCCTTCTCCTCTTCTCCTTTTCAAAAGCTCCGTGCACTTTTCAGAAGCTTTCACCTCCGTGTTACCATTGCTAACTTGGCCGCGTCTTCATTTGCGTGTGAGGTCAGCTACGTCCCATTGCCTTGGTTCATTTGCGGAGCGCTCATGTAGCTAGCCACGGCACGTTCAAGGCCCACTCGTGATTATATTACTTTTTATTTCTATAATCATATAAATACAATTATATTCAAATTATTATTATATATCTATAGATCAGGGCTCCAGACTAACTTTTTTCATGACCGTCCCGACACCGTCCCGAAAACCATTTGGCATCGTCCCGAAATGGATGTGAACCGTCCCAAATTCAATATGTATTTTTAAATAAATTTTCTTAATTATAAATGTATTTTAAATGTATTTTTATTATTGTTTTACACAATATAGTGTGTGAATAAATGACTCATTTAACAATAATGCAATTTATTGGTAAAACATTCTTAAACAATAAATACAAATCGCGCAGACTCACTTAAATTAGAGTAAAATCATCAGAGGCCAAAACTACAGAAACAGATTCAATTCGCACAGACTCACATCATCAACTGAATAATGTAAAACACTTGTTAATGTTAAAGGAACTAGATGCAAGTTGGCCATTTTATACTCACGACTGCCACCTCAGGTCAAATGTGTAACTGCACCTTCTACATTAAGCTCGTGCATGACGGCACTTCAGACCCGAATCAACACCTTTCTGAGTGACAGTGCAGGGTTTTAGAGGCAGTTGTGGTGAACAGGTCTGAGCTCATTCTACACCTTAGGAGATCGTTGGAACATGTAGGGGGAGGAACATACCGAGTTTTAACATTTTTCCACTCTGTATATTCACTGATTATTTATAGATTTATGTAAAAGGGTTTATAAGACGTCAAACACCTCATAACAGTTGTAAAGGCCAGGTTATAAGAAAAGTAGAAAAGTATGCCTATTCCACAATGTAAAATAAAATGTGCAGTTTAAATTTTGATAAATTAGGTACATTGGTAAATTGCCAATGTTTACAAACATTAACTTCAAGGAGCGCTGGCTGCATGTTGTATACAGATCATGGATCTATAATAATATCGATACAAAGCAGTCTTCCCATGAGCCTTTACACTACCGCGTGTGGAATAACATTTGGTTCTTTCTCTGTTTGCTTTGAGTTAACAGTAAACCTCTAATGGCACGTACAGCACAGAGCCAGAGAATGCACGGACATTATTAATGCTATAATGTGTTGTATTAAAACACGAGGCTTAGACAGACAGATGATCTAGTAGGTCACGTTATCATTTATTCATCAATTATGGATTAACAGGACCGAGGTGGGGCGCAGGCAGCGCGCACCAAGGCCACAAAAGGCCTCTGTAGTACCGCTGTTTATTGCTCTGTTTTTTATGCTAACGCTAAATAATACGAACATTAGCAACATCTGTGCCATAATAGATATAGCTAATGTAGTGGCGCCAGGTTTGCAATTTTGGGGTGGCCTGCAGATTAGTAAGTAGGCCAATTCCAGGGGTAGCTGGAATTGGGGTTTCAAAGAATATGGTTCACACGCACGCACACACACACGCACGCACACACACACGCACGCACGCACGCACACACACACACACATCTTTAAAACGAGGAATAGCTGGTTGTTCTTGGGAACAAGCTTCGCGCTGTGTGATATACGTGGTCAAACTGGGTCCGCGCAGAGAACGGAGAAGCGGAAAAATGTTCGCCCATGATTCCGCGTCAATTAAGAGCAGAACAGAATTCCCTGAGCGGGAGCTCTCAGCTCTCGCTCTTTAATATGGAACAGGGGACCATTAGCACTCGCTTACATAAATATATTGCCTATTTTATTATTATTTTAAAAAGAAAAATTGGTTAAAGGCTTTCCGTCCCGGGGAGGATTTCATCTCGTCCCGTGCATTTTTTTTCCCGTCCCCGGGACGACGGGACTATGTTAGTCTCTGTGTATTATTATTATATATATATTTTTTTTCAGACCAATTTCATTTGACGGAAATCCGTCACCTAGACGGAACTCTTTAATCCCTGATTGACGTAGAAACACAGCCCTCCGCCTCTGCTCTTCCCTGAGAGCACACAATGGCGATCTGCGCAGAACAGCCCAAAGCCCTGCAGCTCCAGAGCGCAGTCCGGGATCCGCTCATTTAGCCAGGTCTCAGTGAAGCAGAGGACACAGGATGAAGTCCTTGTTTCTTCTCATGAGCAGGCTGAGTTCGTCTTATTGCCCAGTGAGCAAACGTTGGAGAGAAAAATGCCGGGGAGAGCCGTGCGTGTTCCTCTCCTCCGAGCTTTAATTTTGTGAGTTTGGTCGCTTTTCGGGGGGAGACAAGGTGAGATCGCACTTGCAACAAACTGGGATGAGTCTATGGTCCTGCCCTCGGCGTCTATGGTCCTGCCCTCGGCGTCTATGGTCCTGCCCTCGGCGTCTATGGTCCTGCCCTCGGCGTCTATGGTCCTGCCCTCGGCGTCTATGGTCCTGCCCTCGGCGTCTATGGTCCTGCCCTCGCCGTCTATGGTCCTGCCCTCGGCGTCTATGGTCCTGCCCTCGGCGTCTATGGTCCTGCCCTCGGCGTCTATGGTCCTGCCCTCGGCGTCTATGGTCCTGCCCTCGGCGTCTATGGTCCTGCCCTCGGCGTCTATGGTCCTGCCCTCGCCGTCTATGGTCCTGCCCTCGGCGTCTATGGTCCTGCCCTCGGCGTCTATGGTCCTGCCCTCGGCGTCTATGGTCCTGCCCTCGGCGTCTATGGTCCTGCCCTCGGCGTCTATGGTCCTGCCCTCGGGTCTATGGTCCTGCCCTCGCTATGGTCCTGCCCTCGGCGTCTATGGTCCTGCCCTCGGCGTCTATGGTCCTGCCCTCGCCGTCTATGGTCCTGCCCTCGCCGTCTATGGTCCTGTCCTCGGCGTCTATGGTCCTGCCCTCGGCGTCTATGGTCCTGCCCTCGGCGACTATGGTCCTGTCCTCGGCGTCTATGGTCCTGCCCTCGCTTCTCTCTGCTCGCGGCTCTCTCTCTCTCTGCTTGCGGCTCTCTCTCTCTGCTCGCGGCTCTCTCTCTGCTCGCGGCTCTCTCTCTGCTCGCGGCTCTCTCTCTGCTCGCGGCTCTCTCTCTGCTTGCGGCTCTCTCTCTGCTCGCGTCTCTTTCTGCTTGCGGCTCTCTCTCTCTCTGCTTGCGGCTCTCTCTCTCTGCTCGCGGCTCTCTCTGCTTGCGGCTCTCTCTCTGCTTGCGGCTCTCTCTCTGCTTGCGGCTCTCTCTCTCTCTGCTTGCGGCTCTCTCTCTCTCTGCTTGCGGCTCTCTCTCTCTGCTCGCGGCTCTCTCTGCTCGCGGCTCTCTCTCTGCTCGCGGCTCTCTGCTCGCGGCTCTTTCTCTGCTCGCGGCTCTCTCTCTCTCTGCCTGCGGCTCTCTCTCTCTGCTCGCGGCTCTCTCTGCTCGCGGCTCTCTCTGCTCGCGGCTCTCTCTCTCTCTGCTTGCGGCTCTCTCTCTCTCTGCTTGCGGCTCTCTCTCTCTGCTCGTGGCTCTCTCTCTCTGCTCGCGGCTCTCTCTCTGCTCGCGGCTCTCTCTCTGCTCGCGGCTCTCTCTCTGCTCGCGGCTCTCTCTCTCTCTGCCTGCGGCTCTCTCTCTCTGCTCGCGGCTCTCTCTGCTCGCGGCTCTCTCTCTGCTCGCGGCTCTCTCTCTCTCTGCCTGCGGCTCTCTCTCTCTGCTCGCGGCTCTCTCTGCTCGCGGCTCTCTCTGCTCGCGGCTCTCTCTGCTCGCGGCTCTCTCTCTGCTCGCGGCTCTCTCTCTGCTTGCGGCTCTCTCTCTGCTTGCAGCTCTCTCTGCTCGCGTCTCTTTCTGCTCGCGTCTCTCGCACCTGTGCTTAAAGATGTTTGATGCGGAGCAGATTGTCAGCAGCTGTGTGTGTTGTGAGATTATTTAAAGACGCTGGTTCTCTCATCTTTACAGTAAATGAAGTTTATGTTATTGCATTGGTGATTTTATCAGAATATGATGGTAAATCTGACTTTTAAAGTCAGTGCCTCCCCTATCACTGCACGTCACTGCCCCCTCCCCCGCAGCCTGTGCTCTGTGCTGTTAGCTTCGGCGCTAGCGTCTCACAATATGGAACAATATGGCACTTTTGCACGTGGATGGCGTGTCCATACAATGACAGAACCGGGAAGCGCGGAGAGCAGTAACGAAGACACAGGAAGTTTCAGGTTAGCCTCTGCCGATTGTTGTGCTCAGCTGTCGGTGCTAACCAGAGACCTGTGGCTTTTCTCAAGAAAGTGGGGGCCAGTGGTGCGCAATCTGGTCCCGAAACACTTTCTCTTCCTTGTTTCATGAAAACTCGATCTAAAATATGTCACGCCAGCACAAACCTGCGCTACTTATTCTTCAAAAGGACGTATATCCCAATTATAGACTGTATACGGACGTAGTCACGTCTATCTCCGCCGTTCTAACTAATGGGCCAAACATTGGGCTCTCATGGAGTGATTCAAAATGGCCGCGGGGGCTGGAAAATGTGAAAAAACACATCTGTGCATGCGTCAGCTGCACGAGCTCCATTCATTTAAACGAGTGACTTGAAAAATCCACAGCGACTAAACTAGACTGGTCCAGAACACTCAGCATTGACACACATGTGGAACGGAGCTTTGGACCAAGAGACAACTTTTGGACCATCCTGTAAAGACGTTTTCCAGAGGTAAGAAGTTGCTATATGTTAGCATTGGCTAATTCTTATTCCGGGTCCACCCCCACAGGCCCAGGGTGGTACTGCAGCATGTCAGAGCACGTCATTTTGGACACTTTTGAGCCGGGACCCGCCCACACTGATCCCACTGCACTGTATGGATATGGATAGCATTTTCGTAATGAATACGAAAATAAAGTCAGTTAGTGCAGCTTTAATATTAGACCCCACCATGCACTGTCCCCCCGCCCCCACCCTCCGTGATGGACTCCCCCATCACCTCTGTGGAGTCCTTCCGTTTCCTGGGCACCACCATCACCCAGGACCTCAAGTGGGAGCCGACCATCAGCTCCCTCATCAAGAAGGCCCAGCAGAGGATGTACTTCCTGCGGCAGCTCAGGAAAGCCAAGCTGCAGTTCTACACGGCCATCATCGAGTCCATCCTCACCTCCTCCATCACCTCCTCCATCACCTCCTCCATCTCCTCCTCCATCACCTCCTCCATCACCTCCTCCATCACCTCCTCATCACCTCCTCATCACCTCCTCCATCACCTCCTCCATCACCTCCACCATCACCTCCTCATCACCTCCTCCATCACCTCCTCCATCACCTCCTCCATCACCTCCTCATCACCTCCTCCATCACCTCCTCCATCACCTCCTCCATCACCTCCTCCATCACCTCCTCCATCACCTCCTCCATCACCGTGTGGTTCGCTGGAGCCACAGTCAGGGACAAACAGAGACTACAGCGCATTGTGCGCTCTGCAGAGGAAGTGATTGGCCGCAGCCTTCCATCGCTGCAGGACCTGTACGTCGCCCGAGCTCAAGGCCGGGCTGGTCGTATCACAGCCGACCCCTCTCACCTGCACATGGACTATTCCAACCACTCCCCTCTCACCTGCACATGGACTATTCCAACCACTCCCCTCTCACCTGCACATGGACTATTCCAACCACTCCCCTCTCACCTGCACATGGACTATTCCAACCACTCCCCTCTCACCTACACATGGACTATTCCAACCACTCCCCTCTCACCTGCACATGGACTATTCCAACCACTCCCCTCTCACCTACACATGGACTATTCCAACCACTCCCCTCTCACCTGCACATGGACTATTCCAACCACTCCCCTCTCACCTGCACATGGACTATTCCAACCACTCCCCTCTCACCCTGCACATGGACTATTCCAACCACTCCCCTCTCACCTGCACATGGACTATTCCAACCACTCCCCTCTCACCCTGCACATGGACTATTCCAACCACTCCCCTCTCACCTGCACATGGACTATTCCAACCACTCCCCTCTCACCCAGTGTTGCCAACTTAGCGACTTTGTCGCTAGATTTAGCGACTTTTCAGACCCCTATAGCGACTTTTTTTCAAAAAAGCGACTAGCGACAAATCTAGCGACTTTTTCTGGTGTTATTGGCGACTTATCTGGTGTTTTGGCGACTTATCTGGTGTTTTGGAGACTCGTGAAGCACGTATTGTTCTGCTGTCCTCAACGTGAGCCCCTCCCCCGTCCCAAAGCACTTACAGGCGGCCAGTCTCACAGTAGCCTTGCGCAGCAGTCCCAGCTACAGTCTATGGGCGGAGCAGAGAGAGAGAGAGGAGACTCAAAAGCACAGGGAGTTTTCAGGCTGCTGCAGACTGAACTTCAGCTCCACCACCACCACACATCCAAAGCTCCCCGGCCACTCCTACCACCGCCACCCCCCACTACCCCCCACTCCATCCGCGGCAGCTCTGTCCGTGACTCTGTTTTCTCTCAGTAGTGGGTCACATTAAATCATTTGTTATGCCAAACTAGGGATGTAAATCGGCGACCGGTTAACCGGTGGTTGACCGTCACAGCGTTAACCGGTCAAAGCTGTCGGTTAAAAAAGAGAAAAAGGGGAGAGGGGAGGTCTTTTAGCTATTTTAAGCCCTATTTGCACGGTGTGACGAGCGGGTCTGTATCTAGCTGTGTGCGCCCATGTATTATAAACTCCGGGACGACTCTCACGCCGCACGAGCCACATATGCACACACGCACGCGCGCGCACACACACACACACACTTTCCCCCTCTCCATACGTAACATCCACACGCATCATCTCTCCCCTCTTTTACCGTCAAAGTTGCACACTGGCGCGGGTCAGAACTACATTGGAGCTTACATTTACACACACACACATATACATACACACACACATACACACACACATACATACACACACACATACCGGTCTGTCGCGCTCCTCTGTGTCACGGAGCCCAAAGGATTCGCGCAAATACGCGGCTCCTTTTGGGAGTCGCGTATTTCCCCTACATGTTTTGCTGTAGGGGAAACATGTTTGTGTTTATGGTCCTCGGGATCAGCTCCACACACATCACTTGTATTTAAACTTTTGTGAAGACCTGTGAGACGCGGCTCGTCACTCGCTGCTCTGACCATGTGAACGAGCCGTGTTTGCTGCTAGAAAGTTTTGGTATTAACCCGCAGCTCAGCAGAATGGGAAGATTAAAAAAGCAGTTCTCTGTGCGCAAAGGTGCCGGAGCTGTTGCGGGTTTGGGCGCCGCTGTCTTGGCTCTGATCCAGTAGAACGCAGAGCTGCACTTATGAAAAGTACGCGGCTCGAAATGGCTGTTATTTCAAAGAACGTGGACTATTTTAAACTACGCGGTTAACCGGTTTCAACCGGTTAATGAGGCTCGGTGGTCGGTCATGAAAATTCATAGTTTTTTACATCCCTATGCCAAACTATGAAAAAAAAAAAAACTTACAAAAATAAACCTAAGTAACTCTGCCAGAGTGTGTCTTTTGGGTCACTTTGCCGGTCCCAAGCCCGGATAAAGGAGGAGGGTTGGTTGTAGAGCTAGCAATTTCACCCTACATAACAATCTTTTGATTACATTTGCTGTTATAACATTTAACAATACAGGACAAAACTGATGTGTGTAATGTGGATCTAGACAAAGCATTAAAATCATTAAATGTTGTTAATGTTGAAATTATTTTTGTACATTTGTAGTTCTAAACATATTTAGGGTGTTTTTACTCACTTTTGTCTCTCCCACGACCTTATTCCTCTCTCCTACAGCGTCGTTACAGTTATTTGCAAATGGCAAATTATGCAAATTACGTCATTTAGCGACTTCTAGCGACTTTTGGGACAGCCAATAGCTACTTTCCTTACTGAGGAGTTGGCAACACTGCTCTCACCTGCACATGGACTATTCCAACCACTCCCCTCTCACCTGCACATGGACTATTCCAACCACTCCCCTCTCACCTGCACATGGACTATTCCAACCACTCCCCTCTCACCCTGCACATGGACTATTCCAACCACTCCCCTCTCACCTGCACATGGACTATTCCAACCACTCCCCTCTCACCCTGCACATGGACTATTCCAACCACTCCCCTCTCACCTGCACATGGACTATTCCAACCACTCCCCTCTCACCCTGCACATGGACTATTCCAACCACTCCCCTCTCACCTGCACATGGACTATTCCAACCACTCCCCTCAGGCAGGAGGCTGCGGTCCATCAGGACTAGAACCTCCCGCCACAAGAACAGTTTCTTCCCCTCTGCTGTTGGACTCTTGAACACTTCTTAACCTGTCCCCCCGCCCTTTATAAAGTCACTTTACTGCCCATCATACGTCACTTTACTTCACTGTACTGCTGTCACCTTACATTGTGTGCACCATGTGCACTTGTATATTGTAAATAGTAACTGTAACTCTATTTTAAATTTAAATTTATTCTTTAGAAGTGTTTTTTATTCTTATTTTTATTATCTCTTTCTGACTGTTGCACTGAGCCAAAGCAATTTCCAAGTCTGTGACCTCCTGTTACTTACGTGGCAATAAAAAATATTCTGATTCTGTAAGCACTCAAGAGTGTTATACATTTGAGCCTTCGAACCAAATTATGACGTGCGTTGCCATCACTACCCATATGTATACGTGTGTGTGTGTGTGTGTGTGTGTGTGTGTGTGTGTGTGTGTCTATGTATGTGTCTGTGTGTGTGTGTGTGTGTGTGTCTGTATCTGTGTGTGTGTGAGAGTGTGTGTGTGTCTTACTCAGGGTCCTGTGGTTCCTCCTTTATGTCCCTGAGCTCAGAGTCTTCCTCCAGTTTCACTTCTGCCATGTTCCACTGGGTTAGCTCCTGTTAGCTCCTGTTAGCTCCGGTTAGCTCCCGTTAGCTCCTGTTAGCCTGTTGTGGCTACACCTCCTGCGGTGATGTTAGCAGGCTCTGTAGTTAGCTTTATTAGCTCTCAGCTCCCTCCTGTTAGCTCTCTCCGGTTAGCTCCTTTAGCTCCCTTCGTGCTCGTGAAGAATCGTCTTTTGATTCTGGAGCTCCTCGCTGTTTCAATGCACTTTGTGAAAATGCGACTGCAGGGCGCATGCGCACTAACGTGAATCTGGAGGAATACCGTCGTCATGGATACCGGCGGCCATCTTGTGACTGTAAGAGCAGCTGCCCAGCGTCAAGAGAAGAGAAAGTCTGTACCTTTCATTGTATCTGCTGTAGAATTTCACATTTTAACCCTAACCTAATAAACACACTCCCATGTGTTTATTGAAAATCAGGAACAATTAGTAACAGAATTGAAATATTTAGGAGTGTTGTCAGACTCCACAATATCCTTTAAAAACATATGAAGATGTCATAGAATTAAGTACAGCTTTTCAAACTTTCATCAAAATCATTAACTAACGAGGCTTCTGCACTGTATGATCTTCTCCCATGTCACAGGTTATATAACATGTATATAACCTGTGACGGGCCCCCAGTCTGTGAGAGAGGCCCCAGTCTGTGAGAGAGGCCCAGTCTGTGAGAGAGGCCCCAGTCTGTGAGAGTGTGACCCGGACCATATGGGACACAGATGGAAATGATCCTTTGGCTGTAATCATGTCTACATTCATGTTTTTAATGTGTCTGTTTCTTTGACATGTCCCATTCAAATACATAATGAAATAAATGACCACTCAAGACTTCGCTTTCTCTTTAGACTAAACATCGTTCAGAAATCACACAAAGCCAAAATAACAACATTTTAATGACACAACCTTTAACACATCTCCAAGGCAGGAGAAAAAGACCTGGTTCAGTCCTGGTTCAGTCCTGGTTCAGTCCTGGTTCAGTCCTGGTTCAGTCCTGGTTCAGTCCTGGTTCAGTCCTGGTTCAGTCCTGGTTCAGTCCTGGTTCAGTCCTGGTTCAGTCCTGGTTCAGTCCTGGTTCAGTCCTGGTTCAGTCCTGGTTCAGTCCTGGTTCAGTCCTGGTTCAGTCCTGGTTCAGTCCTGGTTCAGTCCTGGTTCAGTCCTGGTTCAGTCCTGGTTCAGTCCTGGTTCAGCCCTGGTTCAGCCCTGGTTCAGCCCTGGTTCAGACCTGGTTCAGACCTGGTTCAGACCTGGTTCAGACCTGGTTCAGACCTGCTCTTGATCTGGTTCACTCCTGGTCCGGTTTCACTTGGTTTTCTTTGCTTGCTTCCCTTTTGTTTTCTTTTTCTTTATGTATTTTTTTGTGTCCTTCTTGTTCCTAGGATCAGCCATTTCCCCTCTGAATGCCCCGGGTCCCGTTGGTCTGGCCCCCGGTCTGGACCCTGGTTTGGACCCTGGTTTGGCCCCCGGTCTGGACCCTGGTTTGGACCCTGGTTTGGCCCCCGGTCTGGACCCTGGTTTGGCCCCCGGTCTGGCCCACGGTCTGGACCCTGGTTTGGCCCCCGGTCTGGCCCCCGGTCTGGACCCACGTTCTGGCCCCTCGCGCTGCTGGGACCTCTTGACCCGAATGGCCCGTCCGTCCAGTTGGGAGGCGTCCAGTCTGAGGGCGAGCTGCACACTGTCTGCACTCTGGACACAAACACACCACTTTTATGGAGTACGAGACGACAGGATGAGCACTGTGTGAAAATATATGTGTGTGTGTGTGTGTGTGTCCTGCACCAAACCTGTCTACGTTCAGCCGCCGCGTTCTGTAGCTTAGGTCCTGGCTCTGCTGCCTCAGCCCTGGCTCTGCTGCCTCAGCCCTGGCTCTGCTGCCTCAGCCCTGGCTCTGCTGCCTCAGCCCTGGCTCTGCTGCCTCAGCCTCTTGCTGCCCTGGCTCTGCTGCCTGGCTCTGCTGCCTCAGCCCTGGCTCTGCTGCCTCAGCCCTGGCTCTGCTGCCTCAGCCCTGGCTCTGCTGCCTCAGCCCTGGCTCTGCTGCCTCAGCCCTGGCTCTGCTGCCTCAGCCCTGGCTCTGCTGCCTCAGCCCTGGCTCTGCTGCCTCAGCCCTGGCTCTGCTGCCTCAGCCCTGGCTCTGCTGGCCTCAGCCCTGCTCTGCTGCCTCAGCCCTGGCTCTGCTGCCTCAGCCCCTCTGCTGCCTCAGCCCTGGCTCTGCTGCCTCAGCCCTGGCTCTGCTGCCTCAGCCCTGGCTCTGCTGCCTCAGCCCTGGCTCTGCTGCCTCAGCCCTGGCTCTGCTGCCTCAGCCCTGGCTCTGCTGCCTCAGCCCTGGCTCTGCTGCCTCAGCCGCCTGGCTCTGCTGCCTCAGCCCTGGCTCTGCTGCCTCAGCCCTGGCTCTGCTGCCTCAGCCCTGGCTCTGCTGCCTCAGTCCTGGCTCTGCTGCCTCAGTCCTGGCTCTGCTGCCTCAGTCCTGGCTCTGCTGCCTCAGTCCTGGCTCTGCTGCCTCAGTCCAGGGTCTGCAGCCTCAGTCCAGGGTCTGCTGCCTCAGTCCTGGCTCTGCTGCCTCAGTCTGCTCTGCTGCTCAGTCTGGCTCTGCTGCCTCAGTCCTGGCTCTGCTGCCTCAGTCCTGGCTCTGCTGCCTCAGTCCTGGCTCTGCTGCCTCAGTCCTGGCTCTGCTGCCTCAGTCCTGGCTCTGCTGCCTCAGTCTGGCTCCTGCTGCCTCAGTCCTGGCTCTGCTGCCTCAGTCCTGGCTCTGCTGCCTCAGTCCTGGCTCTGCTGCCTCAGTCCTGGCTCTGCTGCCTCAGTCCTGGCTCTGCTGCCTCAGTCCTGGCTCTGCTGCCTCAGTCCTGCCTTCCTGGTCCTGCCTCAGTCCTGGCTCTGCTGCCTCAGTCCTGGCTCTGCTGCCTCAGTCCTGGCTCTGCTGCCTCAGTCCTGGGTCTGCAGCCTCAGTCCTGGGTCTGCAGCCTCAGTCCTGGGTCTGCAGCCTCAGTCCTGGGTCTGCAGCCTCAGTCCTGGGTCTGCAGCCTCAGTCCTGGGTCTGCAGCCTCAGTCCTGGGTCTGCAGCCTCAGTCCTGGGTCTGCAGCCTCAGTCCTGGGTCTGCAGCCTCAGTTCAGGGTCTGCAGCCTCAGTCCTGGGTCTGCAGCCTCAGTCCTGGGTCTGCAGCCTCAGTCCTTGGTCTGCAGCCTCAGTCCTTGGTCTGCAGCCTCAGTCCTGGGTCTGCAGCCTCAGTCCTGGGTTTTGTGAGTTTAACCTCTGATGCAGTAGGATCTGTTGGATTTAGGCCTATACAAGAATAAACTTATTGTATTGTTTATATGTGTGCAGTATTAGCAGTATTAGCAGTAGCAGTAGCAGCAGCAGTAGCAGTAGCAGTAGCAGTAGCAGTAGCAGTAGCAGTAGCAGCAGTAGTAGCAGTACCTTGAACAGCAGGTAGCCAAAGCCCTTGCCCAGGCCCGTCCCCTTGTCTCTGATTAGTCGAACCGCCTCCACTGAACCACAGTCCTGGAAGTGTGAGCGCAACGCTGCCTCCTTCAGGTCTGAGCAGAGAATTACACATGGTCATTACCAAGAGTGACCAGAGAGAGAGACCAGAAAGAGAGACCAGAGAGAGTGAGAGACCAGAGAGAGTGACCAGAGAGAGACCAGAGAGAGTGAGAGACCAGAGAGAGTGACCAGAGAGAGACCAGAGAGAGTGAGAGACCAGAGAGAGACCAGAGAGAGTGACCAGAGAGAGTGACCAGAGAGAGTGACCAGAGAGAGTGACCAGAGAGAGTGACCAGAGAGAGTGACCAGAGAGAGTGACCAGAGAGAGTGACCAGAGAGAGTGAGAGACCAGAGAGAGTGACCAGAGAGAGAGACCAGAGAGAGTGACCAGAGAGAGTGAGAGACCAGAGAGAGTGCCCAGAGAGAGTGAGAGACCAGAGAGAGTGACCAGAGAGAGTGAGAGACCAGAGAGAGTGACCAGAGAGAGTGAGAGACCAGAGAGAGTGACCAGAGAGAGTGAGAGACCAGAGTGAGAGACCAGAGAGAGTGAGAGACCAGAGTGAGAGACCAGAGAGAGTGAGAGACCAGAGAGAGTGCCCAGAGAGTGAGAGACCAGAGAGTGACCAGAGAGAGTGAGAGACCAGAGAGAGTGACCAGAGAGAGACCAGAGGGAGAGACCAGAGAGAGTGCCCAGAGAGTGAGAGACCAGAGAGTGACCAGAGAGAGTGAGAGACCAGAGAGAGTGACCAGAGAGAGTGAGAGACCAGAGAGAGTGACCAGAGAGAGTGAGAGACCAGAGAGAGTGACCAGAGAGAGTGACCAGAGAGAGAGACCAGAGTGAGAGAGACCAGAGAGAGACCAGAGAGAGACCAGAGAGAGAGACACTTTCATCACACAGCCCCAGCCCTTCTGTTCACTCGCCTACTTTTCAAACTCACCAAACGGTAGATTTCCCACAAAGACGGAGCGTTTGTGGTCGTGCTGCGGAAAGACAAGGACGGCTTTAACACGGGACCAGAACATGTCATGAGTGTGTACCCAGGCGCCCTGTGAGCTTTAACATGGGACCAGAACATGTCATGAGTGTGTACCCAGGCGCCCTGTGAGCTTTAACATGGGACCAGAACATGTCATGAGTGTGTACCCAGGCGCCCTGTGAGCTTTAACATGGGACCAGAACGTGTCATGAGTGTGTACCCAGGCACGGGACCAGAACATGTCATGAGTGTGTACCCAGGCACGGGACCAGAACATGTCATGAGTGTGTACCCAGGCGCCCTGTGAGCTTTAACACGGGACCAGAACATGTCATGAGTGTGTACCCAGGCGCCCTGTGAGCTTTAACATGGGACCAGAACATGTCATGAGTGTGTACCCAGGCGCCCTGTGAGCTTTAACACGGGACCAGAACATGTCATGAGTGTGTACCCAGGCGCCCTGTGAGCTTTAACACGGGACCAGAACATGTCATGAGTGTGTACCCAGGCGCCCTGTGAGCTTTAACACGGGACCAGAACATGTCATGAGTGTGTACCCAGGCGCCCTGTGAGCTTTAACACGGGACCAGAACATGTCATGAGTGTGTACCCAGGCACGGGACCAGAACATGTCATGAGTGTGTACCCAGGCGCCCTGTGAGCTTCAGATCAGATGTGACAGGACCTAAAACTAGAGATGAAAGCAACTGTTGAAGAGCAGAACTATCAGGGATTGGTATTAGCAGTTGTCCGTAGCCCCGGGCAACTAATGGCGTGTTCACACCACCGTCTACGTCGGCGTCGTTGGGTTTGCATTCAAAATTAACGGTCTGGAGCATCGAGTGGCGGCGAGAGGCCGAGCGTCATTTGGTACGGGTCAAAAGCTTCACATACACACTAGCCACGTAAGACTGTGGGGACCGGGGCTCCGGGGACTGTGGGGGCCGTGGCTCCGGGGACTGTGGGGGCCGTGGCTCCGGGGACTGTGGGGGCCGTGGCTCCGGGGACTGTGGGGGCCGTGGCTCCGGGGACTGTGGGGGCCGTGGCTCCGGGGACTGTGGGGGCCGTGGCTCCGGGGACTGTGGGGACCGGGGCTCCGGGGACTGTGGGGGCCGGGGCTCCGGGGACTGTGGGGACCGGGGCTCCGGGGACTGTGGGGGCCGGGGCTCCGGGGACTGTGGGGACCGGGGCTCCGGGGACTGTGGGGACCGGGGCTCCGGGGACTGTGGGGGCCGTGGGGACTGGGGCTCCGGGGACTGTGGGGACCGGGGGCCCAGGTTAGCTTAATGCTGTTAGCTTAACGCAGTGGTGCTCCCCCTGGAGCTTAAATTATAAACATTTTATTATTTACAGCTCAACAAATCACTGATATGAAAACAAAGGGTCATAATTCTGCCCTCAAACATTGCTAAAAGTAAAATTTGTTATGGATCAGAAGTGTTTCAGTCTCTGGTCGTAGTGTCCTTGGGCAAGACACTGGAAGATCTCAGCTCCTGTGGACTCAGCACCTGCAGAAGGATCAGTGAGGGGCTGGTGCTCTGTGTGCGATCCAGAAATTGATTAAGGGAAGAAAATGGATGGACGGATAAAAAGAAACTGAGACACAAACAGGTCCTTTCTGAGTTTTCCCATAGACTTTAAATATTAAAGACGTAGTCACGCCTATATCCGCCGTTCAAACTAATGTGACATCACTTCGGCGGTCTATGGGCAGTTTCAAAATGGCGGCGGGGATGGAAAATGTGAAAAAACGCATCTGCGCATGCGTCAGCTGCACAAGCCCCATTCATTTCACCAGTCCACAGCGACTAAACTAGATTGGTCCAGGACACTCCCCTGGGCATTGACACACATGTGGAACGGAGCTTTGGGCCAAGAGCAAACTTTTGGACCATCCTGTAAAGACGTTTTCCAGAGGTTTGCCAATGCTATATGTTAGCATTGGCTAATTCTTATTCCGGGTCCACCCCCACAGGCCTGGGGTGGTATTGCAGCATGTCAACGCACATCATTCTGGACACTTTTGAGAAAGACCAGAGAGAGACCAGAGAGAGACCAGAGAGAGACCAGTGACTGACCAGAGAGAGAGCAGAGAAAGACCAGAGAGAGAGACCAGTGACTGACCAGAGAGAGACCGGAGAGAGACCAGAGAGAGACCAGAGAGACTGACCGAGGCCGTGGCGTTCACTCGGTCCACGCGGATGAAGAGCTCAGGCTGTAGTTCCACTCCGTTCCTGAAACCACAACAGTTTCCATTTAAATCTGAGGCCTTCGCTCTGACCTTTAACCCTCTCTGTGTGACATCACAGGGGAGCAAGTGTAGCATTTGCAGTGCTAGGCATTTAGCACCTTTGTTATCCATAGAGAGAGAGAGACAGACACACAGGGAGAGAGAGAGAGACAGAGACCAGAGAGAGAGAGAGAGAGACAGACATACAGGGAGAGACAGATAGGGAGAGGGAGAGGGAGAGAGACAGATAGGGAGAGAGAGGGAGAGAGCGAGACAGATAGGGAGAGAGAGGGAGAGAGAGAGACAGATAGGGAGAGAGAGGGAGAGGGAGAGAGACAAAGACAAACAGACAGACGGAGAGAGAGAGACAGACAGACAGAAAGAGAGAGAAAGACAGTCAGTGACCGATAGAGGGACAGACATGGAGAGAGACTTATAGAAAGACAGAGAGACACACACATTTGTATATCCGTGCAAAAACATCACTTCTCATCATCACTTTTAAGTTCTAGCTGCAGTACCTGTCCAGGGCAGAGGTGGCGCTGTCCTCGTCTACACCACACTAAAGGGTTAAGAGCTGCAGTACCTGTCCAGGGCAGAGGTGGCGCTGTCCTCGTCTACCCCACACTAAAGGGTTAAGAGCTGCAGTACCTGTCCAGGGCAGAGGTGGCGCTGTCCTCGTCTACCCCACACTAAAAGGGTTAAGAGCTGCAGTACCTGTCCAGGGCAGAGGTGGCGCTGTCCTCGTCTACACCACACTAAAGGGTTAAGAGCTGCAGTACCTGTCCAGGGCAGAGGTGGCGCTGTCCTCGTCTACACCACACTAAAGGGTTAAGAGCTGCAGTACCTGTCCAGGGCAGAGGTGGCGCTGTCCTCGTCTACACCACACTAAAGGGTTAAGAGCTGCAGTACCTGTCCAGGGCAGAGGTGGCGCTGTCCTCGTCTACCCCACACTAAAGGGTTAAGAGCTGCAGTACCTGTCCAGGGCAGAGGTGGCACTGTCCTCGTCTACACCACACTAAAGGGTTAAGAGCTGCAGTACCTGTCCAGGGCAGAGGTGGCGCTGTCCTCGTCTACACCACACTAAAGGGTTAAGAGCTGCAGTACCTGTCCAGGGCAGAGGTGGCGCTGTCCTCGTCTACACCACACTAAAGGGTTAAGAGCTGCAGTACCTGTCCAGGGCAGAGGTGGCGCTGTCCTCGTCTACACCACACTAAAGGGTTAAGAGCTGCAGTACCTGTCCAGGGCAGAGGTGGCGCTGTCCTCGTCTACACCACACTAAAGGGTTAAGAGCTGCAGTACCTGTCCAGGGCAGAGGTGGCGCTGTCCTCGTCTACACCACACTAAAGGGTTAAGAGCTGCAGTACCTGTCCAGGGCAGAGGTGGCGCTGTCCTCGTCTACCCCACACTAAAGGGTTAAGAGCTGCAGTACCTGTCCAGGGCAGAGGTGGCACTGTCCTCGTCTACACCACACTAAAGGGTTAAGAGCTGCAGTACCTGTCCAGGGCAGAGGTGGCGCTGTCCTCGTCTACACCACACTAAAGGGTTAAGAGCTGCAGTACCTGTCCAGGGCAGAGGTGGCGCTGTCCTCGTCTACACCACACTAAAGGGTTAAAGCTGCAGTACCTGTCCAGGGCAGAGGTGGCGCTGTCCTCGTCTACACCACACTAAAGGGTTAAGAGCTGCAGTACCTGTCCAGGGCAGAGGTGGCGCTGTCCTCGTCTACACCACACTAAAGGGTTAAGAGCTGCAGTACCTGTCCAGGGCAGAGGTGGCGCTGTCCTCGTCTACACCACACTAAAGGGTTAAGAGCTGCAGTACCTGTCCAGGGCAGAGGTGGCGCTGTCCTCGTCTCTGAACACCACGTAGGCGTTTATGGTCTGCTTCTGTGGGTGGGCCTTCCTCCTGAAAGACCAGAGAGAGACCGAGTTTGGACCGGGTTCAGACAGAGTTTGGGACCGGGCTTGGACCGGGTTTAGACAAAGTTAGGATTAGACAGAGTTAGGACAGGGTTTGGGACCGGATTTAGACCAAGTTGGGACCAGGTTGGACCAGGTTGAGACCGGGTGGGGACCGGGTTGAGACTGGGTTTGGGACCAGATTTAGACCAGCTTGAGACCGGGTTCATACCAGGATTTACCAGGATTTGTCTCGGCCCCGGTCTCGGCCCCGGTCTCGGCCCCGGTCTCGGCCCCGGTCTCGGCCCCGGTCTCGGCCCCGGTCTCGGCCCCGGTCTCGGCCCCGGTCTCGGCCCCGGTCTCGGCCCCGGTCTCGGCCCCGGTCCCGGTCTAGACTCACATGATGGCTGCTGCTCTTCTGGACATACTGGGATCCTCTCGCACCTGGAACAGATCAGAAGCAGACTCAGACTTCGGACCTAACTTGGACTGGACTTAAACCTGGTCTAGCCCAAGACCAGAGAGAGAGACCAGAGAGAGAGACCAGAGAGAGAGACCAGAGAGAGAGACCAGAGAGAGAGACCAGAGAGAGAGACCAGAGAGAGAGACCAGAGAGACAGACCAGAGAGACAGACCAGAGAGACAGACCAGAGAGACAGACCAGAGAGAGAAAGTGACAGAGAGAGAGAGACACCAGAGTCCAGACCCAGACCTGGTCCAGACCCGGACTCACCAGGGACCGGAAGCGGATGGACTCTATGGCTCCCGTGTCCTGGAACAGCAGCTTCAGAGTCTGAACAGAGAACAGGAGGTTATGACGTCCCTCCGCAACGCTCTGAGCTCTGCCCTTGTACATGCCACAGCCAGGCCCTACAGACTCGGCTCAGACCACGCATCAAGTGAGCCATCAGCGGAAGTTTTTTCCCCCTGAGTAAGACCTCCTAAACATCTGGATTCATCTGAGCCAAAATGTCCTAGCCTCCGCTCGTTTATGTGGAGGCTCCTTTTGACGCTGCTCGGAGGGAAAAACAGTCACTGACCACTCACTTGAAGGGGGTGCTAAAAGAAGACTACACCAAGACTAAAGCAGGTCTAAAGCAGGTCTAAAGCAGGACTAAAGCAGGTCTAAAGCAGGTCTAAAGCAGGTCTAAAGCAGGACTAAAGCAGGTCTAAAGCAGGTCTAAAGCAGGACTAAAGCAGGTCTAAAGCAGGTCTAAAGCAGGTCTAAAGCAGGACTAAAGCAGGACTAAAGCAGGTCTAAAGCAGGACTAAAGCAGGTCTAAAGCAGGTCTAAAGCAGGTCTAAAGCAGGACTAAAGCAGGTCTAAAGCAGGTCTAAAGCAGGTCTAAAGCAGGACTAAAGCAGGACTAAAGCAGGACTAAAGCAGGACTAAAGCAGGTCTAAAGCAGGACTAAAGCAGGACTAAAGCAGGTCTAAAGCAGGTCTAAAGCAGGACTAAAGCAGGTCTAAAGCAGGTCTAAAGCAGGTCTAAAGCAGGACTAAAGCAGGACTAAAGCAGGACTAAAGCAGGACTAAAGCAGGACTAAAGCAGGACTAAAGCAGGACTAAAGCAGGACTAAAGCAGGTCTAAAGCAGGACTAAAGCAGGACTAAAGCAGGACTAAAGCAGGACTAAAGCAGGACTAAAGCAGGTCTAAAGCAGGACTAAAGCAGGACTAAAGCAGGACTAAAGCAGGACTAAAGCAGGTCTAAAGCAGGACTAAAGCAGGACTAAAGCAGGACTAAAGCAGGACTAAAGCAGGACTAAAGCAGGACTAAAGCAGGTCTAAAGCAGGTCTAAAGCAGGACTAAAGCAGGACTAAAGCAGGACTAAAGCAGGTCTAAAGCAGGTCTAAAGCAGGACTAAAGCAGGACTAAAGCAGGACTAAAGCAGGTCTAAAGCAGGACTAAAGCAGGACTAAAGCAGGACTAAAGCAGGTCTAAAGCAGGTCTATCCCTTGCTGGGTGGTACCTTCTTGGTGGCAGACAGCGGCAGGTTGCCCACAAACACAGTCCGGTTCTCCCGCTCCTTCTCCTTCAGTTTGTTCTGGCGGCGCTGGTGTCGGCGCTGGACCCAGAGCTCGGCCGGGTCGTCCGCCTGGGGCCTCGTCTTCCTCCTCTTCCCTCCCCCGAGCTCGTCTTCATCGCCCGCAGAGAGACCAAGCTCCCTGAAAGCCACAGACCTCAATGTTAATGCTGATGTGTGGTCTCGCTCCCCGGTCTCGCTCCCCGGTCTCGCTCCCCGGTCTCGCCCCCCGGTCTCGCCCCCCGGTCTCGCTCCCCGGTCTCGCTCCCCGGTCTCGCCCCCCGGTCTCGCTCCCCGGTCTCGCCCCCCGGTCTCGCTCCCCGGTCTCGCTCTCCGGTCTCGCTCTCCGGTCTCGCTCTCCGGTCTCGCTCTCTGGTCTCGCTCTCCGGTCTCGCTCTCTGGTCTCGCCCCCCGGTCTCGCTCTCCGGTCTCGCTCTCCGGTCTCGCTCTCCGGTCTCGCTCTCTGGTCTCGCTCTCTGGTCTCGCTCTCTGGTCTCGCTCTCTGGTCTCGCCCCCCGGTCTCGCTCTCCGGTCTCGCTCTCCGGTCTCGCTCTCCGGTCTCGCTCCCTGGTCTCGCTCCCTGGTCTCGCTCCCTGGTCTCGCTCCCTGGTCTCGCTCTCCGGTCTCGCTCTCCGGTCTCGCTCCCTGGTCTCGCTCCCCGCTCTCTGGTCTCGCTCTCTGGTCTCGCTCTCTGGTCTCGCTCTCTGGTCTCGCTCTCTGGTCTCGCTCTCTGGTCTCGCTCTCTGGTCTCGCTCATCTGGTTCTGGTCCTTTCTGGACATGTACCTGGTCTGGATTATGGTCTGGCTCTCCGGCGTGTCATTCTTCTTTTGAATTTCTTCTTTTGGTCTTTCCTTGGCTTTGACGCTCCTCACAATCTGAGAGTAAAGCAGGTCTAAAGCAGGTCTAAAGCAGGTCTAAAGCAGGTCTAAAACAGGTCTAAAACAGGTCTAAAGCAGGTCTAAAACAGGTCTAAAACAGGTCTAAAGCAGGTCTAAAGCAGGTCTAAAGCAGGTCTAAAGCAGGACTAAAGCAGGACTAAAGCAGGACTAAAGCAGGTCTAAAGCAGGTCTAAAGCAGGTCTAAAGCGGGACTAAAGCGGGACTAAAGCGGGTCTAAAGCGGGTCTAAAGCGGGTCTAAAGCGGGTCTAAAGCGGGACTAAAGCGGGACTAAAGCGGGACTAAAGCGGGACTAAAGCGGGTCTAAAGCGGGTCTAAAGCGGGTCTAAAGCAGGACTAAAGCAGGTCTAAAACAGGTCTAAAACAGGTCTAAAACAGGTCTAAAGCAGGTCTAAAACAGGTCTAAAACAGGTCTAAAGCAGGTCTAAAACAGGTCTAAAACAGGTCTAAAGCAGGTCTAAAGCAGGTCTAAAGCAGGACTAAAGCAGGACTAAAGCAGGACTAAAGCGGGTCTAAAGCGGGTCTAAAGCGGGACTAAAGCGGGTCTAAAGCGGGTCTAAAGCGGGTCTAAAGCGGGTCTAAAGCGGGTCTAAAGCAGGACTAAAGCAGGACTAAAGCAGGACTAAAGCAGGACTAAAGCAGGTCTAAAGCAGGTCTAAAGCAGGACTAAAGCAGGACTAAAGCGGGTCTAAAGCGGGACTAAAGCGGGTCTAAAGCGGGACTAAAGCGGGACTAAAGCGGGACTAAAGCGGGACTAAAGCGGGTCTAAAGCGGGTCTAAAGCGGGTCTAAAGCAGGACTAAAGCAGGACTAAAGCAGGACTAAAGCAGGTCTAAAGCAGGACTAAAGCAGGACTAAAGCAGGACTAAAGCAGGACTAAAGCAGGACTAAAGCAGGACTAAAGCAGGTCTAAAGCAGGACTAAAGCAGGACTAAAGCAGGTCTAAAGCAGGTCTAAAGCAGGTCTAAAGCAGGTCTAAAGCAGGACTAAAGCAGGACTAAAGCAGGTCTAAAGCAGGACTAAAGCAGGACTAAAGCAGGACTAAAGCAGGTCTAAAGCAGGACTAAAGCAGGACTAAAGCAGGACTAAAGCAGGACTAAAGCAGGACTAAAGCAGGTCTAAAGCAGGTCTAAAGCAGGACTAAAGCAGGACTAAAGCAGGACTAAAGCAGGACTAAAGCAGGACTAAAGCAGGTCTAAAGCAGGACTAAAGCAGGACTAAAGCAGGACTAAAGCAGGACTAAAGCAGGACTAAACCAGGACTAAAGCAGGACTAAAGCAGGACTAAAGCAGGTCTAAAGCAGGTCTAAAGCAGGTCTAAAGCAGGTCTAAAGCAGGTCTAAAGCAGGACTAAAGCAGGACTAAAGCAGGTCTAAAGCAGGTCTAAAGCAGGACTAAAGCAGGACTAAAGCAGGTCTAAAGCAGGACTAAAGCAGGACTAAAGCAGGACTAAAGCAGGACTAAAGCAGGACTAAAGCAGGACTAAAGCAGGACTAAAGCAGGACTAAAGCAGGACTAAAGCAGGACTAAAGCAGGTCTAAAGCAGGACTAAAGCAGGACTAAAGCAGGACTAAAGCAGGACTAAAGCAGGACTAAAGCAGGACTAAAGCAGGACTCACCTCTGGCGCAGGTCTGAACAGTGATGACGATGGAGAGGCTGTGGTGGAGAACAGAGCCGACAGAGACCCAGACCCAGGACCAGGACTGGACTTGGACAGACTCCCTGAGACCAGTCCCACTGCGTAGTCCACAGCACTGTCACTGAGCAAAAAAACACCTCATTAGATACTTATTTTTAAAACCTAAATCAAGTCACAAAAAGCTCTATTTGTCTCTGTCCGTTTTTAGCATTAGCACTGTTAGCATCGTTAGCATTTTGAACTTTCACGTCTTTTCTTAAGTCCAGCATGACGTCACCGCGAACACACACCTCTGCGGGAGCTTCCTCTTCATGTTTAATCACAGTGTGTGATTTAAATCTATCAACAACCTGTAAATATTCCGTTATGTCACTTTCGCCGCGCGGACATTTGTTTACCAACACGTTTCTCCTACGGTACGGCGCTCAAATGAGTCCGGCCGGGAAAAACCTGCCGAGGAGGTAAAGGTTCCGCGAGCGAGTTTATCCGATTTAAGTGGGCGTGGCTTAGATTCTTTCACCTCACGGTCTCCACGGGATATCTACACTTAAAATACAGACGCGTTCTCTGTCTCTCTCTCGCTCAGTCTGTGTCTCTCTCGCTCTGTCTGTGTGTCTCTCGCTCTGTCTGTGTGTCTCTCGCTCTGTCTGTGTCTCTCTCGCTCTGTCTGTGTGTCTCTCTCTCACGTCTTGGTTTACATTTGGTGGAGTTGAAGTGGGCTGAATGATGATTACTTATTCTAAGCTTTAAATGATATTAAACACACACATTCACACACACACCTTTAATAAAACACATATTTGTAAAACAAAGATACAGTATATACAGTAAAAAAAAACAAGGCACTGGTGAAAGCCCAGTCCCGGTCCTGGCTCGGTCCAGGCTCGGTCCCGGTCCTGGCTCGGTCCTGGCTCGGTCCAGGCTCAGTCCTGGTCCTGGCTCGGTCCAGGCTCAGTCCTAGTCCTGGCTGTGTCCTAGTCCTGGCTGTGTCCTAGTCCTGGCTGTGTCCTAGTCCTGGCTGTGTCCTAGTCCTGGCTGTGTCCTAGTCCTGGCTGTGTCCTAGTCCTGGCTGTGTCCTAGTCCTGGCTGTGTCCTAGTCCTGGCTGTGTCCTAGTCCTGGCTGTGTCCTAGTCCTGGCTGTGTCCTAGTCCTGGCTGTGTCCTAGTCCTGGCTGTGTCCTAGTCCTGGCTGTGTCCTAGTCCTGGCTGTGTCCTAGTCCTGGCTGTGTCCTAGTCCTGGCTGTGTCCTAGTCCTGGCTGTGTCCTAGTTGTGTCCTAGTCGTGTCCTAGTCCTGGCTGTGTCCTAGTCCTGGCTGTGTCCTAGTCCTGGCTGTGTCCTAGTCGTGTCATAGTCCTGGCTGTGTCCTAGTTGTGTCCTAGTCGTGTCCTAGTCCTGGCTGTGTCCTAGTCCTGCCTCAGTCCTGCCTCAGTCCTGCCTCAGTCCTGCCTCAGTCCTGCCTCAGTCCTGCCTCAGTCCTGCCTCAGTCCTGCCTCAGTCCTGCCTCAGTCCTGCCTCAGTCCTGCCTCAGTCCTGCCTCAGTCCTGCCTCAGTCCTGCCTCAGTCCTGCCTCAGTCCTGCCTCAGTCCTGCCTCAGTCCTGCCTCAGTCCTGCCTCAGTCCTGGTCCTGGTCTTGTGGTATGAAAGCAGAGATGACCCCACAGCCCTCTTCCTTTGGGGTGCAGACCAGCGCCTCCTGCAGCAGCACAGCGCCCTCTTGTGGCAGACTGAAACACTGCGGTCTGGGAGCCGGCCTCAGGAGCCTCTTGAGCCTCTCTCTCTGGAACAGCAGTCCGTACGCGGCCCCCACGGTGAGACCCAGTCCGAGCAGAGACAGACCCACGGCCAGACCCACCCCCCAGGCGGACCACCCAGACGGGGCCAGTACCCGGGTGCAGAGGGGGCACAGAGGGAGACCCACCAGCTCCCGCGAGAACAGCACGAACTGGAGACCACACCACAACATTCATCAGAGAAAACATGGTCTCTCTCTCTGGTCTCTCTCTCTGGTCTCTCTCTCTGGTCTCTCTCTCTGGTCTCTCTCTCTGGTCTCTCTCTCTGGTCTCTCTCTCTCTCTGGTCTCTCTCTCTCTGGTCTCTCTCTCTCTGGTCTCTCTCTCTCTCTCTCTCTGGTCTCTCACTCTGGTCTCTCACCTGAGCAGAGGCGCAGTACTGGCTTCCCGGCTGCAGCTGGTTGAAGCTGGTAGTGACGGTGCTGGTGTGACAGTCCTGTGGGTCCTGGTGCAGACACACATGGTGCTGCGCATGGTCCGCAAACGCTTCCCACAGCGAGTGAGAGCGCATCAGGTGGACCACGAGAGAGGACGGCTGGGCGGACACACGCATCTGCAGAGAGAGAGACCAATGAGAGAGACCAGAGAGAGAGACCAGAGAGAGACCAGAGAGAGAGACCAGAGAGAGAGACCAGAGAGAGAGACCAATGAGCGAGACCAATGAGAGAGACCAATGAGACAGACTAATGAGAGAGACCAGAGAGAGACCAGAGAGAGACCAGAGAGAGACCAGAGAGAGACCAGAGAGAGACCAGAGAGAGAGACCAGAGAGAGAGACCAGAGAGAGAGACCAGAGAGAGACCAGAGAGAGACCAGAGAGAGACCAGAGAGAGAGACCAGAGAGAGAGACCAGAGAGAGAGACCAGAGAGAGAGACCAGTGAGAGAGACCAGAGAGAGACCAGAGAGAGAGACCAGAGAGAGAGACCAAAGAGAGAGACCAGAGAGAGAGACCAGAGAGAGAGACCAATGAGACCAGAGAGAGAGACCAGAGAGAGAGACCAGAGAGAGAGAGACCAGAAAGAGAGACCAATGAGAGAGACCAATGAGACAGACTAATGAGAGAGACCAGAGAGAGACCAGAGAGAGACCAGAGAGAGACCAGAGAGAGACCAGAGAGAGACCAGAGAGAGACCAAAGAGAGAGACCAGAGAGAGAGACCAGTGAGAGAGACCAGAGAGAGAGACCAGAGAGAGAGACCAGAGAGAGACCAGAGAGAGACCAAAGAGAGAGACCAGAGAGAGAGACCAGAGAGAGAGACCAGAGAGAGAGACCAGAGAGAGAGACCAATGAGAGAGACCAATGAGAGAGACCAATGAGACCAGAGAGAGAGACCAGAGAGAGAGAGACCAGAGAGAGAGAGACCAGAGAGAGAGACCAATGAGAGAGACCAATGAGACAGACTAATGAGAGAGACCAGAGAGAGACCAGAGAGAGACCAGAGAGAGAGAGCAATGAGAGAGAGCAATGAGAGACCAGAGAGAGATCAGAGAGACCAGAGAGAGAGACCAATGAGAGAGACCAGAGAGACCAAAGAGAGAGACCAATGAGAGAGACCAATGAGAGAGACCAGAGAGAGAAACCAGTGAGAGACCAGAGAGAGAACAGAGAGAGACCAAAGAGAGACCAGTGAGACCAGAGAGAGAGACCAATGAGAGAGACCAATGAGACAGACTAATGAGAGAGACCAGAGAGAGACCAGAGAGAGACCAGAGAGAGACCAGAGAGAGAGACCAGAGAGAGACCAGAGAGAGAGACCAGAGAGAGAGACCAGAGAGAGACCAAAGAGAGAGACCAGAGAGAGAGACCAGAGAGAGACCAACCAGAGAGAGACCAGAGAGAGACCAAAGAGAGAGACCAGAGAGAGAGACCAGAGACCAAAGAGAGAGAGCAATGAGAGAGCAATGAGAGAGACCAGAGAGAGAGAGCAATGAGAGACCAGAGAGAGAGACCAATGAGAGAGACCAGAGAGACCAAAGAGAGACCAAAGAGAGACCAGAGAGAGACCAATGAGAGAGACCAATGAGAGAGACCAATGAGAGAGACCAGAGAGAGACCAATGAGAGAGACCAGAGAGAGACCAATGAGAGAGACCAGAGAGAGACCAGAGAGAGACCAGAGAGAGACCAGAGAGAGACCAGAGAGAGACCAGAGAGAGACCAGAGAGAGACCAGAGAGAGACCAGAGAGAGACCAAAGAGAGTGACCAATGAGAGAGACCAGAAGAAAGACACACACAGACCTGGGGCGTGCACCTCTCTGCTCGGACACTGCAGGCCTCTACAGCCTCAGACCTCAGCCCGTCCCGCTCCACAGAGACCCGCTCCGCAGAGACCTGCTCCACTGAGACCCGCAGAGCAGAGACCCGCAGACGCACACAGCCGTGGAGCGCCTCCTGCAGTACCGCACTCACGTCACAGGAGGGCGCTGTGGTGGAGCAGGACGACAGCACCGACCACGACTCATCCCCGATCTGTCTGTACTCCACCAAGAACGAGACGCTAGAGTCTGCTGCTGCTGCCCAGGACAGGAGACCGGACTGAGGAGAGAGACCAGGACTGAGAGAGAGACCGGACTGAGGAGAGAGACCAGGACTGAGAGAGAGACACCGATCTGTCTGTACTCCACCAAGAACGAGACGCTAGAGTCTGCTGCTGCTGCCCAGGACAGGAGACCGGACTGAGGAGAGAGACCAGGACTGAGAGAGAGACCGGACTGAGGAGAGAGACCAGGACTGAGAGAGAGACACCGATCTGTCTGTACTCCACCAAGAACGAGACGCTAGAGTCTGCTGCTGCTGCCCAGGACAGGAGACCGGACTGAGGAGAGAGACCAGGACTGAGAGAGAGACCGGACTGAGGAGAGAGACCAGGACTGAGAGAGAGACACCGATCTGTCTGTACTCCACCAAGAACGAGACGCTAGAGTCTGCTGCTGCTGCCCAGGACAGGAGACCGGACTGAGGAGAGAGACCAGGACTGAGAGAGAGACCAGGACTGAGGAGAGAGACCAGGACTGAGAGAGAGACCGGACTGAGGAGAGAGACCAGGACTGAGAGAGAGACCGGACTGAGGAGAGAGACCAGGACTGAGGAGAGAGACCAGGACTGAGAGAGAGACCGGACTGAGGAGGGAGACCAGGACTGAGAGAGAGACTGGACTGAGGAGAGAGACCAGGACTGAGAGAGAGACCGGACTGAGGACAGAGACCGGACTGAGGAGAGACCGGACTGAGGAGAGACCGGACTGAGGAGAGAGACCAGGACTGAGAGAGAGACCGGACTGAGGAGAGAGACCAGGACCGAGAGAGAGAGCGGACTGAGGAGAGAGACCGGACTGAGAGAGAGACCAGGACTGAGGAGAGAGACCAGGACTGAGGAGAGAGACCAGGACTGAGAGAGAGACCAGGACTGAGAGAGAGACACCGATCTGTCTGTACTCCACCAAGAACGAGACGCTAGAGTCTGCTGCTGCTGCCCAGGACAGGAGACCGGACTGAGGAGAGAGACCAGGACTGAGAGAGAGACCAGGACCGAGAGAGAGACCGGACTGAGGAGAGAGACCAGGACTGAGAGAGAGACCGGACTGAGGAGAGAGACCAGGACTGAGGAGAGAGACCGGACTGAGGAGAGAGACCGGACTGAGGAGAGAGACCAGGACTGAGAGAGAGACCGGACTGAGGAGAGAGACCAGGACTGAGAGAGAGACCGGACTGAGGAGAGAGACCAGGACTGAGAGAGAGACCGGACTGAGGAGAGAGACCAGGACTGAGAGAGAGACCAGGACTGAGGAGAGAGACCAGGACTGAGGAGAGAGACCAGGACTGAGAGAGAGACCGGACTGAGGAGAGAGACCAGGACTGAGGAGAGAGACCAGGACTGAGAGAGGGACCGGACTGAGGAGAGAGACCAGGACCGAGAGAGAGAGCGGACTGAGGAGAGAGACCAGGACTGAGAGAGAGACCGGACTGAGAGAGAGACCGGACTGAGGAGAGAGACCGGACTGAGGAGAGAGACCAGGACTGAGAGAGAGACCGGACTGAGGAGAGAGACCAGGACTGAGAGAGAGACCGGACTGAGGAGAGAGACCAGGACTGAGAGAGAGACCGGACTGAGAGAGAGACCGGACTGAGAGAGAGACCGGACTGAGAGAGAGACCGGACTGAGAGAGAGACCGGACTGAGGAGAGAGAGACCGGACTGAGGAGAGAGACCAGGACTGAGAGAGAGACCGGACTGAGGAGAGAGACCAGGACTGAGAGAGAGACCAGGACTGAGGAGAGAGACGGGAGTGAGAGAGAGACACCAGGACAGAGAGAGACCGGACTGAGGAGAGAGACCGGACTGAGGAGAGAGACCGGAGTGAGAGAGACACCAGGACTGAGAGAGACACCAGGACTGAGAGAGACACCAGGACTGAGGAGAGAGACCAGAGTGAGAGACCGGACTGAGGAGAGACTGGACTGAGGAGAGACCGGACTGAGGAGAGACCGGACTGAGGAGAGACCGGACTGAGGAGAGAGGTCAGAGGAGAGAGAGACCGGACTGAGGAGAGAGACCAGAGAGAGAGACCAGAGAGAGAGACCAGAGAGAGAGACCGGAGAGAGAGACCAGAGAGAGAGACCAGAGAGAGAGACCAGAGAGAGAGACCAGAGAGAGACCAGAGAGAGAGACCAGAGAGAGACCAGAGAGAGAGACCAGAGAGAGAGACCAGAGAGAGACCAGAGAGAGAGACCAGAGAGAGAGACCAGAGAGAGAGACCAGAGAGAGAGACCAGAGAGAGAGACCAGAGAGAGAGACCAGAGAGAGAGACCAGAGAGAGACCAGAGACTCATGTCTCCCTCTGGAGGTGAATAAATAAACTATTCTGTTATGGTTACCAACCTGCACGTGCACGTCGCGCGGCGCGGCTGGAGCGGAGTCTGCGGCTTCACAGCTGCACAGTCGCGTCAACAACAGAAGCAGAGCAAACATCATCTTCTGTGAGACATGGACCAAGAGCCCGGAGAGAGAGGCAGGAGCCCGGAGAGAGAGGCAGGAGTGCGGAGAGAGAGGCAGGAGTGCGGAGAGAGAGGCAGGAGCCCGGAGAGAGAGGCAGGAGCCCGGAGAGAGAGGCAGGAGCCCGGAGAGAGAGGCAGGAGCCCGGAGAGAGAGGCAGGAGTGCGGAGAGAGAGGCAGGAGTGCGGAGAGAGAGGCAGGAGTGCGGAGAGAGAGGCAGGAGCCCGGAGAGAGAGGCAGGAGCCCGGAGAGAGAGGCAGGAGTGCGGAGAGAGAGGCAGGAGCCCGGAGAGAGAGGCAGGAGCCCGGAGAGAGAGGCAGGAGTGCGGAGAGAGAGGCAGGAGTGCGGAGAGAGAGGCAGGAGTGCGGAGAGAGAGGCAGGAGCCCGGAGAGAGAGGCAGGAGCCCGGAGAGAGAGGCAGGAGTGCGGAGAGAGAGGCAGGAGCCCGGAGAGAGAGGCAGGAGCCCGGAGAGAGAGGCAGGAGCCCGGAGAGAGAGGCAGGAGCCCGGAGAGAGAGGCAGGAGTCCGGGGAGTAGAGCCTGGAGTCCGGGGAGTAGAGCCTGGAGTCCGGGGAGTAGAGCCTGGAGTCCGGGGAGTAGAGCCTGGAGTCCGGGGGGTAGAGCCTGGAGTCCGGGGAGTAGAGCCTGGAGTCCGGGGAGTAGAGCCTGGAGTCCGGGGGGTAGAGCCTGGAGTCCGGGGAGTAGAGCCTGGAGTCCGGGGAGTAGAGCCTGGAGTCCGGGGGGTAGAGCCTGGAGTCCGGGGAGTAGAGCCTGGAGTCCGGGGAGTAGAGCCTGGAGTCCGGGGGGTAGAGCCTGGAGTCCGGGGAGTAGAGCCTGGAGTCCGGGGGGTAGAGCCTGGAGTCCGGGGGGTAGAGCCTGGAGTCCGGGGAGTAGAGCCTGGAGTCCGGGGAGTAGAGCCTGGAGTCCGGGGGGTAGAGCCTGGAGTCCGGGGGTAGAGCCTGGAGTCCGGGGAGTAGAGCCTGGAGTCCGGGGAGTAGAGCCTGGAGTCCGGGGAGTAGAGCCTGGAGTCCGGGGAGTAGAGCCTGGAGTCCGGGGGGTAGAGCCTGGAGTCCGGGTGACTTGGGCCTGTCTTCGGGGGAAGGAGCACAATAATCCCGTGTTTCTCAAGTTTCTGCACGGACTTCCGGGTCTGAGTCTCCGATGCTCTTGACGCCGTTGACGGTCCAGGCGAACTGCGTCACTTCCGGTGGTTCGCTCGTGTTTTGGTTCCGCTGAATGTTTCCAGTGAATGGTTCCGCTGCGGTGTCTGCTGCCGCCCTGAAAACACATGGACTCTCTTTATTATCTTTAAAACACATTAACAGATTTGATCATCTTCAAAACACACTAAACGTATTTATTATCACTGTAGCGGACCCTCCCTCTGCTGTTTGTAGCCGTTAGCTGTTAGTTCCGTCTTCAGCGGTGACACCTGGAGCCTCCGTAGCCGCCTGTCGCGTCTCTCTGTCGGCTTCATGGACCCCGAGCTCCCGGAGGAGGCTGTGGGGAGGCGGGTGTCGTGTGGAGGGGAGCGGGCCACGGTGCGGTACGTGGGGCCGGTGCCTCCCACGGAAGGTGAGGACCAGGACTTGTGTGTGGGTGTGTAAGCCAATGCAAGTTTAATTGCATAGCACGGAAACATTCAAAATAGAAATATATATATCCCTCTGTTGTAGCACAGGCAAACAGAACCTGGACTTAAACATTGTCAGAGAAGAGGCCTGTCTCACGTTTTCAGGAAGATTGTTCCAGATTTGAGTGCGTGTGTCTGTGTCTGTGTGTGTGTCTGTGTCTGTGTGTGTGTGTGTGTCTCTGTCTGTGTCTGTGTGTGTGTCTGTGTGTGTGTGTGTGTGTGTGTGTGTGTGTGTGTGTGTGTGTGTGTGTGTGTGTGTGTGTCTGTGTGTGTGTGTGTGTGTGTGTGTGTCTGTGTCTGTGTGTGTGTCTGTGTCTGTGTGTGTGTGTGTGTCTCTGTCTGTGTCTGTGTGTGTGTCTGTGTGTGTGTGTGTGTCTGTGTGTGTGTCTGTGTGCGTGTGTGTGTGTCTGTGTGTGTGTCTGTGTGTGTGTGTGTGTGTGTGTGTGTGTGTGTGTGTGTGTGTGTGTGTGTGTGTGTGTGTGTGTGTGTGTGCACTTGTTTTCAACTCCTGGTGGGTTCCATAACCTGAGATTCCACTCACGTCATGGGGACTGGTTTTACGTGGTGGGGCCCGAACACCGGACCCCACTGGTCCAAGCTTAATAATCAATGGGTAATGCTTTTCTAACGGTCCTTATGCAGTCTCTGTAAAAATATGGAAAGGACCCCTGGAGGTTTACTTTCCTGAAAAAAGTGTGTTATGTGTCGGAACCCTGGTGGTGGGTTGCGGGATATCAAGGAGGGGCACACTGGGGCAATTTCAGTCCAGCAGGCTGGAGCCAATCATGGAGCAGCACAACAGAGGAAGTCAGGTGTCAGGCTAGAAAAAGGTGCAAGTGTGTGGTTCATTAGGCTGCAAGAAATCATGGAGGAGCACACTGAAGCGCACGCTTACAAACCACTGGTAAGTGCTGACTACAAGTCATGACTTCAAATTGTTATATAGAATGATTACAAATTATTTGTTGTTTGTGCAGCTTAGTCAAGAGTCCCTAATTGATGAAGTCGACTCAGATTCTGACGATTTAACTGTCAAGAAGAAACCTGTAAAAAAGTATGGAAAAAGAAAAATCAAAAACACTTTTCTTCAAGACTCGGAAAGTGACGAACCAAAGGCAAATAAGATTGTTATCATGCAGCTGCAAAAGAAGAAAAATGGGGGGCGAGTATACAGCAAGAGACACTTCTGCCTCTACTGTTCAATGTCCTGCCACAAAATGTCCCGTCATTTGACTAGAAAACATGGAAATGAAAGTGACGTAGCCAGAGCATTGGCTCTACCTGTGAAATCTAAAGCACGTAAACTTCAGTTTGATTTGATCAGGAATAGTGGAAACCGTGAGCACAATTTTGAGGTTTTAAAGGCCGGCATTGGAACTTTAGTCCCAGCTAAACAGCCAAATTGCCCAGTTAAATCCAGTGAGTTTTTGCACTGTATAGACTGTGGGGCATTGCTTAAGCGAAAGTCGCTGTGGAGGCATGTGGCCAGGTGCCGGCTTTCACAGAAAGATGCCCAGGCTAAACCAGGTAGAAGTAGGGTCCAGTCCCTCTGCTCCCTAGCCCAGCCTGTACCGGAGGGCATCAGCAAAAAGCTGTGGTCTTTAATTTCGGCAATGCATCAGGATGAGGTCACGGGTGTTGTCAAAGCAGAAAAGGGGATTCTGAGACTCGGAGAGCACCTGTACTTAAAACACGGGCATGATAAGACAAAGCATGATTACATTAGGCAGAAAATGAGAGAAGTCCGGTAGGTTAATTAACGAAGCAAAAACCGCAGGGAAACTGAAAACAATTAAGGATTTCTTTATTCCTTCCAACTTTAACCATGTGATTGATGCAGTCAGGTCTGTGGCTGGATATGATGAGGAAACAAATCAATACAAGACTCCATCCTTGGCCCTCAAACTCGGCCATAGCCTCAGAAAGCTAGCAGATATTCTTGAATGTGACTCAAAAATGGAGCATTGTGTTGATGAACTATTTATTAAAAACCTCCAACGAAGCCGGCTGCTTTTTGAGAAGAGGTG